AAAAATCGATGCCAAATCAAACATAGAATTATAGAAATCTACCATAGAATTATATAAAGAGACCAAATTTATTTAGATTAATAGTTTTAAATTTAGTCTCTATCTTTTAAATAAATTTCTGAGCTTTGGGCAGAGGCCATATTAAATCCTGGTTCTCCAAAGAGAGAAACATATAATGAGTCTAGTCCAAAGAGAGTAGGCCATATAGTGCTTTCACAGTGCACTTTGTTAAAAAGGCTTTTCTGTAAGTTTCTAAACCATGTTCTTTCTTAAACATCCAAGAGCAGCCCCTGTAGTAATAACTAATTTGGTTTTAAAAAAATAAGTAATGTTAGAGATGAAATGCTTGTTCTTAGATACTACAAGGAAAAATTAGCATCCGGACAAAAAATTTTCTTAGCAAGGCAATTTTACTTTCTGTAGAAAGGGTGCTCTTGTTAGTTATGTTGCTACAAGAGTAGCAAGATAGGTAACAGTACAAAAGCAAGCAGTTTAAAAATCTGAGAAACTTGTCTGTTTACACTCTTGGTTATCACAGGGAAAAAGAGAGTTTCTCCCTAAAAAAGGAGTTTGGAATCTTTGTTTTCATTAATGAATCCCAGGCTGTTAGAAACTATTTTAGGTCCTTCGTGCAACAGAAGGTGGTAAGAGGAAGGAGACATAGGAAGAAGTAAATGGAGAAGACAGAATTCAGCTTATTGAGAAGAAAAAAACTTTTTCTCAAAAACAAGATTTTAGGAGAGAAAAAAGCATAAAGACCTTTTAAATATATGCACACATCTTGATAGCAGCTTTTGATTAAGCTGACTTTTATCCATCAAGCTGTTTAAAACATCCTTTTATATCTCATTACCATATTTTAGCTGGGACAAATTGCTTATATTTAAAAAGTAACATAAAAATATAAAGCCAGAAAGAACTTGATTTAAGAACCAATCTCAGCTATCATGGTGAAAAAGGCAGAATTTTAGCTATTGAACGAACCACAGTGTGGGGTGGTGGCCGAAGCTCTTTTGGTTTGGTTTGGCTGGCGAAAGATGGCCTTGTCACATAAATAAATTCCCTATGTGGTCAGACTTTCTTTTTTTCTTTTGCTTGCTGGGTTTTTTTCCCTTTTTCTCCAGCTGTGGGAATTTAACCAATTCAGAGGCCTTATTCCTCCTCATTTGGAATGTTTCTTTGCATTTGATCAAGTCGGGTAGAGTTGGTCAAACCCAATGGGAGAAAGACAGAAACAACCATAAAAAGAAATCAACAATAACAACAAAAAACAAGCAACACAAACAATGTTTGCACAATTTATATGTCTACTGAGCTCTTAATGGTAAGGAGAAATTAAAACCAGCTGGTTTTAACCTTTAGTTATTAAGGAGAATTTCCAAGACAAACCCTAGTTCAGCTAACTTAAGAATGGGATCCAGGCTAAAGACTGTTCTCTAGCATCCTAGAAGGAGGAAAAAATCAATCTTGCCTTCCCTGTTGGTAGCAAGATGAAACTCCAGAAAGTGGTTGCCTGTTTTCTATCATCATGGAAGCAGGAAAACTCCCCTTTCTTGTTGGAAGGGAGAAAAACTCCAGAACAGATGTACAGCAACTTTATCTGTAGCTATCTGCTTAGGAACAAAACTAAAGGTGATAAAAATCTGAGAAACTTGTCTATTTACACTCTTGCATGACTCAGCTTTCGGCTGCAGTTTTTCCTTCAGCATAGCAGAGTCCAGAATTTTTACTTTCCTTTGACTATTATCTGTAAATCATAATGACCAGAAATATAATACAGACCTACTTCTTACTTGCAAGAGATGTCTAGTAACAAAAATGTTTCCTAGTTTATTATTTGAAATGTCATTTGTTATTTACAATTAGATGCAATAACCAGGTAAGAATTGGAGACTCTTTACTAATTGAACAGATTTTAGACATATATTTGCTATGGCTACCCTTGTTTTTTTCTTTTTTTTTTGGGATGGAGTTTCGCTGTTGTTACCCAGACTGGAGTGCAATGGCTCACCGCAACCTCCGCCTCCTGGGTTCATGCAATTCTCCTGCCTCAGCCTTCCGAGTATCTGGGACTACAGGCACGCGCCACCATGCCCAGCTAATTCTTGTATTTTTAGTAGAGACGGGGTTTCACCTTGTTGACCAGGATGGTCTTGATCTCTTGACCTCATGATCCACCCTCCTCGGCCTCCCAAAGTGCTGGGATTATAGGTGTGAGTCATCATGCCCAGCCCTACACTTGTTTTTTTCTGTAAGAGATGTAATTTTTGTTTTTTTCAGTAGTCCTTCTATGGATGGGTCCTGATAGAATTCTCAAACAGAATGGTGCAAATTAAAAAGAAACAGGTCATATGACTATTATCTGTAAATCATAATGACCAGAAATATAATACAGACCTACTTCATTTTATTACACTTCATTGTGTCTCATAGATAGTGTGGGTTTTTTTGTTTAACACATTGACGGTTTGTGAGAACTCTGTTGAGCAAGTCTATCAGCACCATTTTTCCAACGGTGTGCTCTTGCTTTATGTCTCTGTGATATTTTGGTAGTTCTCACAATGTTTTAGACTTTTCATTATTATTGTATCCGTTAGGGTCATCTGTGATCAGTCATCTTTGATGTTACTATTGTTACCATTTTGGTACACCACAAATCAAATCAATAGAAAATAGCAAGCTGAATTGATAGATGTGTTTTGACTACTCTACTTTCCCCATCTCTGTCCCTTTCCTCAACCCTCCCTATTTCCTAAGATAAAATCATTAAAATTAGGCCTATGACTAACCCTACAATGACCTCTAAGTGTTCAGGGGAAAGGAAAAGTCCCATGTCTCTCACTTCAAATCAAAAGCTGAAATGATTAAGCTTCATGAGGAAGGCATGTTGAAACTAGGCCTCTTGTGCCAAACAGCCAAGTTGTGAATGCAAAGTAAAAGTTCTTGAAGGAAAGTATAGGAGCTACTCCATTGAACCCATGAATGATAAGAAAGTGAAAAGGCCTTCTCGTTGATAATGGAGAAAATTTCAGTGATCTGGATAGAAGGTGAAACCAGCCACAACATTGTCTTAAGCCAAAGTCTAATCCAGAGCAAGGCCCTAACTCTCTTCAAGTGTATTAAGGATGAGAGAGATGAGGAAGCTGCAGGAGAAAAGTTTGAAGCTAGCAGAGGTTGGTTCATGAGGTTTAGAGAAAGAAGTCATCTCCATAAAAACGCAAGGCAAATCAGCAGGTGCTGATGTAGAAGCTGCAGCAAGTTACCCAGAAGTTCTAGCTAAGCTCATTGAGGAAGGTGGCTACACTAAACTGCAGATTTTCAATGTAGACAAAGACAGCCTTCTGTTACAAGAAGCAGCCATCTGGGACTTTGATAGCTAGAGAGAAGTCAATGCCTGACTTCAAAGCTTCAAAGGACAGACTGATTCTCTTGTTAGAGGTTAATGCAACTGGTCACTTTGAGCTGAAGCCATTTGCAATTCCAAAAATCCTAGGGTCCTTAAGAATTATGTTAAATCTACTGTGCTCCATAAATGGAACAATGAAGTATGGATGACAGTACATCTGTATGCAGCATGGTTTACTGAATATTTCAAGCCCACAACCTTCTGCTGAGAAAAAGCCTCTGTTTAAAATTATTTCTCACTGACACGGTTGTTAAAGAGCTCTGATGGAGATGTGCAAGGAAATTTCATGTTTCATGCCTGAGAATGCAACATCTGTTCTGCAGCCTGTGGTTCAAAGAGTAACTTTCAAGTCTTATTATTTAAGGAATACATTTTATAAGACTAGAGCTACCATAGTGTTTCATCTGATGGATTTGAAAAAAGTAAACTGAAAACCTGGAAAGGACTCACCCATTCTAGATGCTACTCAGAGCATTTATGATTCCTGGGAGGAGATTAAAGTGGCAACATTAACAAGATTTTATAAGAAGTGGATTCTAGCACTCATGGATGATCTTAAGGGGTGTAAGACATCAGGGGAAGAAGTCACTGCATATGTGGTGGAAGCAGGAGAACTAGAACCAGAAATGGAGCCTGACAATGTGACTGAAGTGCTGCTGCAATCTCATGATAAAACTTGAACAAATGAGAAATTGCTTGTATGGATCAGCAAATAAGTGGTTTTTTTTTTTTTTTTGAGATGAAATTCACTCCTGGCGAAGATGCTGTGAACATTGTTGAAATAACAAAATATTTAAAATATTCCATACACTTAGTTGATAAAGCTGCAGCAGAGTTCGAGAAGATTGAGTCCAATTTTGAAAGAAGTTCTTTGGATAAAAAGCTACAAAACATCATGGCATGCTATAGAGAAACTGTCCGTGAAGGGAAGAGTCAATGGTTGGGGCAGATTTCATTGTTATCTCATTTAAGGAATTGCCAGAGCCACCCCAGCCTACATCAACCACCACCTCATCCACCTAATCAGTGAGCAGCTATTAACATGGGGATGATGTCCTCCACCAGCAAAAAGGTTATGACTTGCTGAAGGCTCAGATTATTGTTAGCATTTTTAGCAAGATATATATTTTTCTTTCTTTCTTTTTTAAGATGGAGTCTTGCTCTGCCACCCAGGCTGGAGTGCAGTGGCACGATTTTGGCTCACTGCAACCTCTGCCTCCTGGGTTCAAGCAACTCTCCTGCTTTAGCCTCCCGAGTAGCTGGGACTAAAGGCACATGCTACCATGCCTGGCTAATTTTTTATACTTTTAGTAGAGACAGGGTTTCACTGTGTTAGCCAGGATGGTCTTGATCTCCTGACCTCATGATCCACCCACCTTGGCATCCCAAGTTCTAGGATTACAGTCGTGAGCCACTGCACCTGGCCAGCAATATTTTTAAAGTTAAGTTCTGTACATTTTTTTTTACACAATGCTGTCACACACTTAATACATTTCAGTATAAAAATTATTTTTATATACATTGCAAAACCAAAAAGTTTGTGTGACTTGCTATATTGTATTATTCTCTTTATTGTACTGGTCTGGAACCGAACCTGCAATATCTCCAAGGTAGGCCTGTACCATAATGCCAAGTTCCCCCATCTGCTAATCATTTACTGCCTTACGGAGAAACAATTGTTTCCATCAGAAATTAGAATTTAACTTTGATCAATATACAAAGCTGTTAATAAAGTAAGGCATACCCATGTAGAGTATTTATTCACAGCTATCCAAATAACCTTACATTTTTTCCTTCATGTTTAATTTTTCTTTTATTTATTTATAGACGGAGTCTTGCTCTGTTGCCCATGCTGGAGTGCCATGGTGCAATCTCGGCTCACTGCAGCCTCCACCTCTTGGGTTCAAGCGATTCTCCTGCCTCAGCCTCCTGAGTAGCTGGGATTACAGGCATGTGCCACCATACCTGGCTAATTTTTGTATTTTTAGTTGAGAAGGGATTTCACCATGTTAGTCAGGCTGGTCTTGATCTCCTGACCCTATGATCCACTCGCCTTGGCCTCCCAAAGTGCTGGGATTACAGGCGTGAGCCACCGTGCCCAGCCTTTCTTTTCTTTATAAAGAGGCAGTTTATGTCTTATTTTGCTGCATCGTTACAAACTTTATAGTTTAAGCCTCTTTTCTTACCTTTTTTTTTTTTGAGACGAAGTCTCACTCTGTCACCCAGGCTGGAGTGCAGTGGCGCAAACTCCGCTCACCGCAATCTCCGCTTCCCTGGTCCAAGCGATTCTCCTGCCTCAGCCTCCCAAGTAGCTGGGACCACAGGCGCTTGCCACCACGCCTGGCTAATTTTTTGTATTTTAGTAGAGGCGGGGTTTCAGTGTTAACCAGGATGCTCTCGATCTCCTGACCTCGTGATCTGCCTGCCTCGGCGTCCCAAAGTGCTGGGATTACAGGTGTGAGCCACTGCACCCAGCCCCAAGCCTTTTTTTTTTTCATGTCTTTTCACACCCCTGAAGTCTAAATTTTATGTCCTTACCTGATTTCCCTCTGAAAAATATTTTCCAGATGTTGTGATATTGTGATATCAATGCTAACACAAATATTAGTATGCCATTAATTTGACAAATGTATTTTGAGAGTCTTCTATGTGCTAGGCATGTTCTAAGTGCACAGGAGACAGTCGAGAACAAGAAGGATAAAGTCCATTCTTGTGGGAACTTACATTCTGTTAATAGTGGGGAGACAGATTTTAACCATGAAAATGTAAAAAAGGCACTTGCAAATAGTGCACACTGAAGAAAATGAAAACACATAATAATAGAATGTGCTTCAAAATCTGCTTTGAGGTGGTAAGTTTTTTAGCTGAGTTGTGAATAATAAAAAAGAATGTGAATATGGGCAGGATAGCATTCCACAAAAAGGAAACAAGTACAAATACAGCTCTGTGCAGAAAGAAATGGGCTTTCATTTTCAGGGAAGGAAAGATGGCCAGTGTGATATGGAGCAGAGTGAGCACAAGAGAGCGTGTGCGATCAGGTCAACTAGTAGACAGGGCCAGGCCATGCCTATCTTTTATTCTTTTCCCAGTATTTGCATGAAAGGTAGGTTATGCCTATCTTGAAGGCTGTGTTAGGAAGTTAGTATTTTATTCTAAGAACAACAAGATGACAGTGGAATATTTTTATATAACCTAACAATATATAAAATGAAAAACACTTTTATTTGTGTGTGTAGAATGGACTGAAGGGGAGAAAGAACGAAAGTAAAGAAATAAGTTGAGAGACTATTGAAATAATATAGCTGGGAGATAATGGGGCAAGAAGAGGTGGAGAAGGAAGAGAAGTGGTTGACCTTGGACTTTAGTTTAAAGTTATAGCCAAGGAGTTGCTGGTGGATTCGATGTAGAAAACCAAGAGTGACTTGGTTTTTTGATTTGAGCAATTGGATGAACAATAATGCCATTTAGGGAAATGGGAAAAACTGGGAGAAGATAAGTTCTGGAGGGGTGAAAATCAATAGAGAATCAAGAAGAGTAGAGATTGCCCTATTAAGTTGGAGAGGCCCATTGAGACATCCAAGTGGTGATACTAAGAAGGAACTAAACTGTGAGTCTGGAGCTTGTGGAGGAGGGCACTTTAGGTCTGGAGAAACTAATCTGGGAGTCATCAGCTTACAGGTAACCATGGCAGTGGATGATATTATGTGGGGAGTGAACGTAGAGAGAGTTGTGAAAATTTTCAGAGTTTACATCAAGTATGTATGGAAATCATTTAACACTTTGAATTTAGAAAGCTTTGCGATACATCTGGGAAGGTAAAAAAAAAAAGTGTCCATGAAATGGCTGAAAACCATGCCACTCCTTTCTGATCAATTTAAGCCTTGCAGTGCTTCTTCCAAGTCAAATATCCTCTGGCATGGTTTCCTCCTCCATGATCAAAAAGTTTTATGACAAAATATATTTTTAGTTAAGGGTATTAACCTCAGAGTGAGTGAAAACCTCCCTGCTTAGATTTGATTAATCATTCTGGTATTGTTCTAGTAAGATAAATTTTATCAAAGGGGATGAGTATCAGTCTGTCTTGGGCTATGTTGTACTCTTTTTCCTATCACTTAGTTTTCTTTCTTTTTTTCCCCTTAGCTTTCTTGACTGATATGCCACCACTTAGTTTTAGGAGACCTTTGTATTAATCTGTTTCTCAGTATAGGTATGTCTTACAAACTGGCAGCATACAAAGAGAATCCCTCTCTTAGGTTACTTTTCAGGATTTGAGTGTGACTTGGGAAATCTTACTAAATGAAATGGTATTTTTCTTCCTTCAAAAGTGAGGATTTACTGGGAATGGGATTTTTTTGGTTCTACACCTATCCTCAGTTAGTTCAAACTATTTAAAACAGCTTTCACATGTGTAAGCTTCCATGCCTTTCACAGTCACTCCTTCCCTTCCCTTTGTAATCCACTGTAGACTTGGAAACCTGATGAACAATGTATTAGAATTACGCTGACAAGAAGACAAAGTGAGCTTGAAGAAAGTGGAAATGGCTCTTCTGAATGTGACACCTTTACCCATTAGTCAGGGACGAATCCAGCCTTATGAGTCTTTTATACTTATTTCTGGATCCTTGGCTACATTTCAAATAGCTGAGATTGTTGGATATAATGTCCATATTAAATAAGTATTAATCTAATGACAATAGTGCTTTAAACTGAAATATGGTAGAGCCAATTACAGTGCCATTTTTGCAGCTTTATTGAGGTGTGATTGGCAAAACTTGCATCTACTTAAGGTACCCAATGTGATGTTTTGATATATGTATATACTGTGAAATGGTTACAACACTCAAGCTAATTAAAATATCCGTCACCTTACATAGTCACCATTTTTTGGTGTGGTGCAAACACCTGAGATCTACTCTCTTAGCAAATTTCAAATATACATTAACAACAATAGTCACCAGACTATAAATTAGATCTCCAGAATTTACTCATTTTATAATTGAAGGTTTGTACCCTCTGACCAGTATCTCCCCTTTTCCCCCACACAGTGATATATTTTGAAAAATCTATTTAGAACTTTCCTACAAACAACTAGGCCTTAAACTCTCAGTAGATCTTTGAGCCTCTTTCAAGTTACTGTGATTCACTAATGCAAAAAAGAATAGAAAGCAATACTCTGTCCTCCTACCTTGGTCACTGCTATGGTTTGGATGTTTGTGTCTCCTCCAAAATTCAGTTTAATCCCCAATACAACGAAGTTGGGAAATGGGGTCTTATGGGAGAAGTTTAGGTCATGAGGGTTTCACCTTCATGAATGGATTATTGTCCCTATAAAAAGGGCTTACAAAAGTAGATTAGCTCGATCTCTTCTGCTATGTGAGATTACACTGTTGCTTTGGAGGATGTTGCATTCAAGGTAACATCTTGGAGGTGGAGATAGATAGGGCCCTCACCTGACACCAAACCTGCTGGTGTTTTTATCTTTGACCTCCTAGCCTCCAGAACTGTGAGAAATTAATTTCTATTCTTGATAAATTACCCAGTTTCAGGTCTTCTGTAATAGCACAGAATGGACTAAGAGTTGATTTTAGACTCAGGATTACAAAACAAGTCCATGAACATTCATTTATTGGTAACTTGAATCAGTAAATTACAAATTATTTTTTAAAACAGGAAATAACAATATAATGAATACCGAGTTACAGATAAAATTACCTTCATGCCCATCCATAGTGATCCTTGCCTCATGCCCGCCTCATGGGTAAGCAGTCTTGTGAAGAGTGTGTGAATGTTTTTTGTTTTTCATTATGAGACTATATATTGAAGGATGCGTTCAGAGCTAAAAGGCAAATAAACTGATAACTGACAATATATAAGCTTAAGGAGATAAATGAATGACATAAAAGTTCTAATGATCAAGAGGGAATTGCATTTTAAAAATAGATGGTAAACAGGTTGGGCACAGTAGCTTATGCCTGTAATGCCAGCATTTTGGAAGTCCGAGGTGGGAGGATCACTTGAGGTCAGGAGTTTGAGACCAGCCTGGCCAACATGATGAAACCCAGCTCTACTAAAAAAAAAAAAAAAAATTAGCTGGGCTTGGTGGCATATGCCTGTAGTCCCAGCTATTTTGTAGGCCTAGGAGGTGGGGACTGCAGTGAGTGGAGATTGTGCCACTGCACTCCAGCCTGGGTGACAGAGTGAGACTCTGTCAAAGAAAAAAAGATGGTAAGTACTAAATTACTATAGCATTTAGATTCCATTATACATATTTTAAGCAGTCATGTATATAGTTTAAATTGCTAATGTTTATGTCTACTAAGAATATGATCATTTTTGTACGTTTAACATGCAAAGGGGTACATGGCTTTTCAAAATTCCTTTAGGATTTTTAGGGGCTAGGAAAACAAGTTAGAAAACATGGCATTAGAGAATACATCCAGAAGTGAAAATGCTGGGTTACAGGGCACAGGTAACTTCAACTTTACAAGATACTGCAAATTTGCTTTCCAAAATGGATATACCAATTCAGGTTCCAGCTGTTTCTTCTTCCTTGCCAACACATGGTATATCTTGACCTTTTAAAACATCTTTCAGAAAGGAAGGATGATTCAAGTATCCTGAAAAC